TTTTTGATTGTAAGCCGCCCTGAGTCCCCTCAGGGAAAAGGGCGGCCTATAAATAAATAAATTATAAAAAAAAAATAAAAAAAAAATAAACTGAATTTCTATGACTGAATAGCTATGAGCAATTATGGAAATGTGCATAGGCATGAGTAGGAATAAATCAGTTTAATTCTGCTGGTGCTGATCTTTTATGCCTGTCACTTGGCATGGAAGCCAGTTGGTTGACTTTGGGGCCCATCACCAGAAGCTTATGAATTCAAGCCCTGCCTTAGGCATGATAGTCAGCTGGGTGACCTTCGGCCAATCACCAGGAGCCTGTGAGTTCTAGTCCTGTTTTAGGTATGAAAGCCGGCTGGGTAACTTTGGGCCAGTCAATCTCTCTAAGCCTACCATGTCAAGCTGGTTGGTCAATTCCTTTCACAACCAGTGAATCAACACTCTTTGGAAAATGCTAGGAAGAATAATTAACCCATCCCGCTACAAGTGATTATACTTCCTTCCAACATTTTTTTAAAAAGTGGCAACATTTCCATTGCCAGCAGCTTCCCAGGAATGAGCTCTTACCACTAACAGGGCGTCCTGGGGGCCTGGGCCGCGGAGAGATGCTGTGGGGTTCCCCTTCGGCCCCATCGACTATGGGACGACCAAAGATCACTTCCAGTTCCTTGCCATCGGGCGGGGGGATGGGATACCGTCCGATTGACAGCTCCACCAGGGAGAGGCCCATGCTCCAGATGTCCGACTGAACGGAATAGTGAGTGCCTTGTAAACGTTCAGGCTGCAAGCAATCGCAACAGAGGTGGAGTGAGTGCCCATCTTGCAAAAACACACCTGCCAATCCCAGTGGCTCCTTCAACAGCCAGGTGTCTGCGGGTACACACCTAGGTGAAAAATTTATGGCAAGCCAGCAGGAACACTAAGGCTGAATTTGAAAGAGGTTTTCCCGGTCTGCATAGAGACTCGGTTAATTACCAGAAAAGCTCTTCAGAAGCCAGGCCAAGAGTTATAATAATCCACCTAGAGAACTTTTGCTTACTGGATCATATGCAAATAAATAAAAAGGCGGAAGATACAGTTGTGCACTTAACAGCGAGCATAAGGTACCTTCCTTTACCTGCAGTTGCAAAAAGCTGCTTCTGTGCTTCCTTCGTTGTCACAACAGAGTGGGAGCTGAAACTATTGACACTTAACGCTATGATTTATGATTTAATTTATAGGGTGTATCAGCTCCTAAATGACTTGCTTCTGCTTCCTAAGTTTTGACTGAAAAAAACTGTTTTTTTTTAAATCTATCAATTTTTTAAAAAACTGTTCGTCTATCATCACCCAGATTGGCTGAAGGGGGCAAATACTCCAGCCAATAGGTTGCTGACTTTCCAGAAAGACAGATTTATATTAAATTTATATTATATTAAGAGCCGTGGTGGCGCAGTGGTTAGAATGCAGTATTACAAGCTACTTCTACTGATTACCGGCTTCCAGCAGTTTGGCAGTTCAGTCCTGACTGGCTGAAGGTTGACTCAGCTTTCCAACCTTCTGAAGTAGGTAAAATGAGGACCCAGATTGTTGGGGGGCAAATAGGCTGACACTGTAAACCACTTAGAGAGGGCTGTAAAGCAGTGTGAAGCGGTATATAAGTCTAAGTGCTATTGCTATATCAAATAGCAACATACTCTTTTTAAGGGCTGCAATCAACATTATCGTTCCGATTATCACTATCTTGATACCACATCTGCTTTAATACCTCCCGAGCTAGTAATCTAGTTGTTACGCAACTTCCCTTGACAAACACGCAGGTCCACTTAGGCACAGGAATAGAGAGCGCAGAGGTGTGGGACAGTCCTGGGGGCCCCATGGCTGTCACATGTAACACCTCTGTTGTGTGAGTTGAACTGGCTGCCAGTCTGCTTCTGGTTCCAATTCAAGATGTTGGCTATTATTTTCAAAGCTCTTTATAGCAGCCAGTTCAAGGTACCTCGGGAGTTGTGTCACCCCAAATGGAATCAGCCCACCCCGCTCACGTCAGCAGAAGAGACATTCTTTGGATCTTGTCTGCCAAAGGATTTCAGCTGACGGGCCCTAAGGGAAGAGCCTTTTCCACTGTGGCCCCCACCCTCTGGAATATTCTCTCAGCTGAAGTCGGGCACACAGTCCTGGCTTTCTGGAAGACCCTGGAAAGCCCCGGCTCTGCTGGCTGGTCTGGAGCCCCAACAGGAGGGCACTATGTTGGGGTCGGTTGATGGGCTAGAAAGAAGATCCCCACCCTCGTGTCATCTGTCCTCATGGTTTTTAGTCTCTTATTTAAGCCTAATTTTAATTGCTTTGTATCATCATTTCTACCTATTTAGCATACTGCATGCCGCCCAGAGTCACTGTAACAGTGAGGTGAGTGGCACAGAAATTCAATATATGAATAAAAAAAAAACCTGAACGTAACATTGAGATTCCAACTTCTTGTGATCCAGTAAAGACTGTCCCTTTGCTCCTCATTTCGTTCCTGCTGAACAAATGAATCTAAAAGATCCACTCATTTTGTATATACTGTAATAGGTTTGTACTTTGGTTCCGTTCTTTGAACCCATTAGAATCGGAAGCCAGATTCTGTATTTCATGCTTATTGAGAGATCAAACTAGGGCCACAGGAGAAGCTTTCTCTTTTTATTGTCTACGGAAATTCTCCATCATCTAGATTAACGGTTGTCCCAAGGCTTTTCTTTTTCCCCAAAAGGAATCGTGGTTGACGCAGTGGTTAGAATGTAACATTGCAGGTCGACTCTGCCCGCTGCCAGCAGTTTGATCCTGACTGGCTCAAGGTAGATTCAGCCTTCCGTCCTTCCGAGGTCAATAAAAGGAGGACCCAGAATGTTGGGGGAAAGAGGCGGATTCTGTAAGCTGCTCAGAGAGGCCTGTACAGCACCATGAATCAGTAGGTAAGTCTAAGTTCTGTTGCTAATTATCATATATGCCTCTCATCTCTTTTCTGTCAATCTACAACAGGGTATCAAACTCTATGAGACCGTCTTCTGCCACATACCTCCCAGCGTCCGATAAGATCACACAGGATGGGCCTTCTCTGGGTGCCGTCGACTAGACAATGTCGTCTGGCGGCTCCTTGGGGGAGGGCCTTCTCTGTAGCTGCCCCGGCCCTATGGAATGATCTCCCCCCAAGAGATTGGTTTGGTTTGGTTTGGTTTG